GCATTTATTACGGGCCGAATGGTCGTATCAAATGGGAGGTTGTCTCCGTGGTTGCGTCGGTGCTTTAGAAAAAAAGAAGAAAAAAAAGAAAAAAGGGGGGTTCTGCGTTTCCGTTTTCTGGCGTTAATGGGAGGCAGAGCCCCTCCCCTTCTCCCCCTATACTGGGTGTGCTGCACTTTGCCCCTTCCGAGACAGAGAGCGGCCAGTTGGTCAAAGGTCCAGCGTCCCTAAAATTGACAAAACTAGAAGGCTTGACAGAGAGAATCAGAATTGGAACCACAGGCAGAAGTTATCAGATGCACAAAAAGTGGGGTATCGAAACGAGTCCACACTGCAGCAAAACTGATGGCTTTCAAAAAAAACAACAAAGGACACCCAAACCGGGCATCACAGGGCGCACGGGGCTACAGATAAGGTCGAGGTTCAACACTTGCCAAGAGGTCCTTTCAGAAACAATGCTGTCCTTAAGTGCACAGCCACAATCAGGCTTCATGAGGACGCACATCTTTTGTGACGCCTTAGTCAATGGCTGCCTAGCAACTGCGTGTTGGAGTGGGCAGAGCGGGAGTGTCCCTCGTCGTTGTCTGTAACCCCCGCGCGTTCCCCGCCAACCAACATCAGAGACCGTCATCAGCCCGCTGGTGGGTCGAACGACCAAGTTTCACCACGTGTTTTGCTACTCATTTTTGCTGCAATGCGAACCGTTCACCATCAATGATAAAAACACATGCAAACAAAGTGGTCTCTTTTTTTGGTTATGATCTCAGTAAGCCTTCATTTTGTTGGTGCCCCTTGCTAATAAAACAGGGGGGAGGTGGAAGAAAAACCCTCGTCTTCAGAAGCCAGCTACCTGTCCCGTGCTGTATATTGGGCCATCAAAAATGTGCCACTACATCACATGGAACTAGGAGCGAGAGAAGAAAGGGTCTAGGTAGCTATAAGCATAGCACGGGTTCATTATGTGGCGGTGCCTTGTTGTCCCACGGCTCCATTGAAGGCCCAATAAACAGTATCCATCTAGTCTGGCTGCCGAGCCGGACCTCCGTGCTTGGAGGCGGCGGCACTGAAGACGCACTGGGGACCCCCTGGGGGGGGGTCGGAGCTTACCTCCAGACGCGGCCTTCTCAACGTCCTCACGGACCAGCGGGGACGTCAGGTGGATGGTGAGGGTGAGAGGGGGCTCCTTGGTGTTCTTGATGACAATGCTGGCCTCGCGGACGTGCTGCGTCACCGCGTACTTGTCTTCTGTGATCGCCTGTGCAAGTCAAAGTGTTCAACAACTCTACTGGAAAGATCCAATACAAGTATATCACTAGTCACAGGTAAAGTTCCTTTACCCGTCCCTTCCGTGATACTGGGACGGCGCCAAGCGGAAGATTTTAAAAAAAAATGTTATAGTCCTCAATTGTCCACACGGAAAATGTTGCAGCGCCCCCCTTCCTCCGCCAGAGAGCAATGAATTCCTTTCCTGTAAGCCCGTCTAAGTGCTTTAGAGACAGGTATTCAAATTCTTCAAGTGTGTAAATATTTTGCAGTCAAACCAAACAGGATATTCAACCGTTGATCTTTATAATGCACGGAATACTGAACATGTTTCTTTACAATAAATAGTCCATGAATTAGGGCTGTGCAGTATGGCCAAAAATCCATACCACGGTATTTAGAAACATTAAGTAATTTCCCCCGAAAAGGTCCACCGCCGGCTACCCGAATAGCTGCTCGCCGGCCAACTCGCTCGTAGACCGTGCAGACAATTACAATCCCTCCTCAACATTGAGGAGGCTGGTTCATGGCGCTTTGCCGGTTACAACTCCAGCCTGTGTGTATCTCTGGGCTGCACGGGGAGTCTTTTGGGCTCTTCTGTTACTTGTGTTTGGGCAATGCAGCGTACAGAGTATAAACGCCTCCATTCACGATCGGAGGCCGAGTGTAGACAAAGACGCGTTCTCACCTTGAGCTGCGTCAGAAGGTTTTCAGACACTCTCTTCAGCAGATTGTTGTTGGGCTTCTCCTTACAGAGGAGCACCAGCTCCAGGTCCAGATCGCCCTTCAGGAGCAGGCCCTTGGCAACCAGGCCCACCCTCATTACGCCCCGCAGAGAGCGGGTCGCCTGATCTCTGGGCTCACTGCCAAAGAAAACACAGCGGATACATTGGAGAGACACACGGAAGACAAAAAACGTGAGTGGAGAAATAGGAAGTGAGACACGTCTTGCTGACCAACTCGTTTTCCTATCGGTCGGACACGATGATCGGCAGCCCGGCTCTGCTCACCTTTCTTTATCGGTGTCTGTGGGATCAGGCTCAGACTTGCAGGTCACCTTCTCATGCTTATCTAGCCAGTCGGAGACGGCCTTGAGGGCCCGCTCAGTGTGCGACACCATGTTTTGTACGTTCTCCAGCTCCTCTTGAGTCGGGTAGATGACGGCGTGCTTGGCCATGACGTGGCGGTCATCGTTCATGAAGACGCGCATGGAGCGGTGGCGCATTGGAGGAGGCTGGAGAGGAGACAGAAGATCATTACCGATAAAGGAAATAACAGGTTTGTGTCATGCAAAAACAAAACTATAAACAAACCATGAGTATTTACACACAACAGGTACGTGTGTGTGTGTGTATACACAAGCCAAGAATATTGAGTTACATGGATAACTGGAGAGAAAACAACCGAATCAGCTCAACTTCGGTCCATTTCCGAACAGTTATTCAACCAACCTGTTTTATGAGACGAACTTATGGCCGAGCAGCAAAGCGCCCGTCCTCTGTCCGCCTCTTGTCTTTGATTAATAATAACAAAAAGAGCAACGAGGTCTCATGTTTGGGCAAAGCTTCCATCACAAGCGATTACAGAAGCCCCGTGCGCACACAGGCAGACGAAGCCAACTGAGTAGAGCGCTGATGTGGAAGCCGGAGTGCGTGTTCCTAAAGCCCCGGGCAGACAAGCCGCCAGCACCAGCCGTGTGACTTCAATTAGAGGCGTCGCGTTTTATTAGTCTCGCTACCTGCGATATCCCTCATTGAGGCGGGATGGGCCCGTTGACTGCCAGCCCACGATCGGACAGGAAAATAACAACACAGAGACGCTTGAATGAAGTCATTACCATCGTCGCTTTAGAGACCGGAGCGGCTCCCTTGTCCAGTGAACCGCGGAGATGGACAATATCTTCTCTGCAGCGGATGACGATGTCGCAGGCCGCCTGCACAGGGAGGAAAACATCCACTCGTTATTGAGAAAGGAGAAGAGGGAAAATCTACACCCAACTACAAATAAGACAGATCCACTAAGGACAGAGACATTTCTGTAGCCAAGGCGTTCAACACTGAAGCAGGTAAAATAAAAAAAAACTCCACATTCCACTGACGACCTTCTGTTGTCTACCGGTGACATACAGTCAATACGCTGTAGTAACACAGGAGGGTTGTTGAGATGGAAACGCATGTCAGTGGGATTGAATGCAACCACACAGAAATGCAGTAACTTTTAATAAATCAGACAAACACAAAGGCTACTTCCCCTGAACGAGGTGTGGACGTAATCCATATATTTCTTGCAGGCAAACCTGTGATGTTAAAAGCTTTATGCTCTTACTGAACTGGTTATACAGACGAGGTAGAGCTCCGAGTGGAGGTCGACACAAGTTATTCACGGATGAATGACTGACTCTCCATCTGTGGTGATGATGATGATGATGATGGTGAGATCTACTGGGAGAAGCCGTTTGATAAAGTAAACAGGACATCTCATGTATTAATCTGCGCACGCGCGTTCCAGCGGCCTCAGACGGGTGGTTTGCCTCAGTGTCCAGTTGTGGTAAAAAGGTAAAACAATAACGATGAAGAGCATTGCTCGTGTTTTGTATTACGTTCAAGTCAACACGTTGCTAACGTGCGGCACGAAGACCCACAAGCCGGCGGCACACCTGTTAGACCTGCGCGGAGGTTCCTTTATTCCGCACTGAGGGGTGAGTTATGGAGCAGGGGCCCAGAGGTGAAGGGTCTCAGACCCTGCAGCTCCATCGGGGGAATTTAACAACAGACGCCATTTTAATTCATTGCAGAGCTTGGCTAGCTAGCTAGCAACCCACCCCCCCCAAAAAATACACGTATCAACATGGTTCATTAAACGCTTACCGAGCCGCGACACACGCAGACATCTCCCACCTGTCACCTGAGTGACTTAAAATAAATGGCACGCCTGAAGTGTAAGTTGTGTTTGGATGTTGGTCCGTCATCGGACAGCAAAATGGTCGAGGAGACCAGACAGTGACCCGTTTTAATGCTCGGGTAGCACTTAGCAGGCTAGCTTAGCCGAACGAACCCACTTTGATAACGTTGCATTTCTGACGCACATATTAAATAAACACCCAGAGGATACACATTAACACGCGTCGTTGGTTCTCGTGAATACATTTCTAAACATATGTCTCGCTCACCGTGGTGTCGTTGCTGCTAATGGACGGCTGCTGCACGCTAGCTCCCGGTCTCGGCCAGGAGTGTGCACGGAAACGCCCACGACGTTAAAAAAGGGCCTATGCTCATTGGCCAGAGTTCACTAGTGACAGCAGTCGTAGCCAATTGGAAAACGGGGGCACACAGGCAGGGGCGTGGCTGGTGAAGATGGATTGAATTGAGGTGTGTGTTCCTGCAACAACTGGCTGACCTGCTGAGTGTAGCCATCGTATCACGTGTGTCACTACTCCTACAGACGTTTATTAATAGCGTGTGAACTCTCCAGTTTGACCTCTAACAATATTGATAGCCTCCTGAACATTTTAAACAAGAGTGACCACTTAACTTTGGGTTCTGTGAAAACCAGTGACTATTTATTTTCACAGCTAGTGTCTTGTCTGAATCATGGAAGATTCACACAACTATCCAGATCCAAAAACATGAAGGCATCGTATGGCAAAATGTCAGGTCACATCCTCTGTTTAGTTTTGAGGTGGCTGCAAAACTCAAGTCTGTCTCTAATAAAGGACACATGAAATAAAGAACAATAGATGATCTATCAAAATCTGTTTTATTTGACATAAAACTAAGTGCACAGTTCCCACATTGCTGGGGTGATTTCTTTCAGGGTTGGAAAATGCATTGTATGTTTTCATATTATGTAATGGTTGGAGTCCGGCCAACCAATCCCATCCACTGGTCCAGGTCTTACTTGCAAAACAGCCACATTGTTTCTGTGATGTCGATCTCATTTTGAAGCAGGCTAACATGACATGGGGACTTCCACAGAGAGCAACACTTGCTTCCATCCTAATCAGTCTATATGTGTTTCTATTGAGACAGATTTTTCAAAACATCAAACGGAATTACCATGTTTATGCAAATCTACTTTTTTCTTTTACAATATATATGGTACCATTGATGCTCATTTTCAATAGATTGAACAAATCAATGACGGCATGTGTGAGCATTAGCTCATATTAAATCAGCCTTTTATCCTTTAGCCCTGTGCAAATAATCCTACATTAGACTAAAGAGCTTTAAAGGTGTTAGTTTAAGATAGAATGACCTAACTAGTTTCTCATTTCCAGCTTTGTGCCAAGCTAACAGGCAAACAACAAGACAAGACGTCAGGGTGCTTTGTCTGAATAAGTTGAATATAGAAAACTCGAATAAGATGAAACATGAACAGATTATTTATTAACCAAGCGAACATTCCCTTTTGTTAATAATAGCACATTCCATCAGATTTTGCACTTTCACTTCAGCCTCGAGACATTTGGGGCAAAATACTGCAAACACATTTATAAACACACAATAACAGGCCTTCACAATCATGTCACAGAACTACATTCTGTTTTTAACATCTTTAAGCCGAGGTATCAGCACAGTCTTTCCTTTTTTTTAGGGCTCTCTTATGTGAGCATTCATACAAGTCATTGACTTTTACATTGTTGTCAGAGAACAAGATACAGTCTTCACTTCAGCAAAAACAATAAAACGTGAACACATTACATTCCAACTGACAAAATATTTTTCATTCATGTTTGCTTTTCGTGCTGTTTGCTTTTCGTGCTGTGCTGCGCACGCATGCTCCTGCATGTGCACGCATGTTCCTGCATGTGCACGCATGTTCCTGCATGTGCACGCATGCTCCTGCATGTGGGCCGTGGCGCCGCCTGATAAACACAGTTCATAAAGAATTGTCTTTCTTTATTGCACACGCTGCACATACAACAAGACCTGTTCAGTGATGTTTCAAATCTGGTTCCATTTAAGTTCCACTTTGAATCCCAACACACATATTTCCTCCACTTAAACCAGGGTGGCCGTGCTGAGCCCAGAGAGACAACTCCTCTTCTTAGGCACCTTTCAACACTGAATTCTGATCCAGATGATGGACTCGGTGGCGAACCCGCCGACGAGAGACGGAGAAGAAAGTGACTTCCTCTGTAAAGGTCCATTTAAATCTTTGTGTTTTTTTCTGAGTTCTGAAAGGAGCCGACCTCCCAGCGAATGGAGCGGAACGTGCTCCCCTTGAGGCTGGCCTGTCTTTTGGTGACGCGGTAGATTTTCCGGAGGACGGCGCGTCGCAGCAGGATGTAGACCCAGGGGTCCAGGATCTGGTTGTAGGTGGCCATCCTGACGCCCGTCATCATCAGACTGTTGTAAGTGTCTCTCTCGCCGCCCAGGGAGCCGCTGTAGGACTTTATGGCCAACACCAGTCCGAAGATCTGAAAAACAAAAAAAAAAAGTTTAGGCTCATCTAAGTGGAAACATTATATCAGGCGGTGTTCAGCCCCTCAAACTTCACTCATTCATGACCATCTCATTCAGTGCAGACCCACAGAACATTGACTCAGAGGTGGTGGAATCCAAAAGTCTAATTTTTCATTCTGCAACTTCAGGCAATGCGTGTGGTATGAAACCAAAGTCATGTCGAACCTTTAGATTTGATCTAACAGAGTAGCCATGACACAAATTGTAGATGTCACATAGCTCCAATAAACTAGTAGAAATTATGTTTCTGACCTTAAAGATAGAATGGGAGAATCCCAAAAGGTGTATCGCAAGGGGATTTAAAAAAAGAGTTTAATTTAAAGAAGGCAGAATTTCCTAAAAATGAATTTGACAGGTTTTTTAATGTTATTCGGGGGCGGTTCGGGGGCAGGCCAGATGTAACCGGAGGCCTCTCCTTCCCCTGACTGTAGCAATACATCTCTTACATTGGGGAAACAACAAATATTCCGAGCAATGACAAAATGTCTGTACTGAACGAGGGTGGTTTATTTTAATGCATTTGTCCTCGTTAAATGAACTTCATTTATACAGCGCACAAAGCACACGGAGCACTTTGCAACACAAGTTAGCGTTCACACTCCCGTCCATCCGGCGGCAGAGGCGGCCATACAAGGTGCCATCTGTCCCACGGGAGCGTCAGACGCACACTCACGCAGTAATTAGGGGTTCAGTACGTTGCCAAAGGGCACTTTGACATGTTTTTCTGCAGGGGCCGCCGCTCTTTCTCGTGAGGCATGTGATAGTTGTGCTGTATATTCTGGTGCAGCTATTATCCAAAGTGGCCCCGAACTGCCTTCAATTTGAAATGTTGTCAGTGAAAACAAAAGCGGGTTAAAGGTATCATGCACAGAAATGTGCCAGTGCTCATTGTTGTGAATCAAACACCACTTCCAGACAGACCGGAGCGACTGCATTAAAAACAATAAACAGGCGAGCAACTCTTTTGAGGTTATTGTGGAATTCCAAACTTCCTGCGGCTCCGCAAAGCGGGGCGTCCATTCCGTACGCGTGAAACACAAGCAGATGATTTGAATCATGAAGTTGCAAACGTTTAAAGGGGTTTGCTATTTGCTTTGTATGAAATTTCAAAAGTTCTGTCAGTCAGCTGCAGAAAATGAATGTGGAGTATTAAAGTGAGCGCATAGCATCTGTGAATAAGGGCAGCAATTAACTGTTCACTGTTTTGCATTTTAGAGGACAGCTACATGGTTTTACAATAGATTCTTACTCGATAATACGTTGTTCACGATGACCGATTCATCCGCATTTATAAATGACTTCTTAAAAAACAACATAGTTGCGATAATTTCATCTGTGAAAAGGCCTTTTTATAACGAAATAATTCAGTGTGTGGTAGAAGTTTTCTCCGACGCTCACCAGCAGAGGGCTCCAGCAGATGCAGGAGGTGACCATGATGCCAACCAGCTGGACCACCATCTCCGTGTCCTGGGAGCCGCCCGAGCGCCGCCCGGAGCACGACCTTTTCTTTAGCCGGGCTCTCACCAGCGTGATGCCACTGATGGTGTTGCACACAAAGGCCGAGGCCAGGGAGCTCAAAGCCAGCACGGAGAACAGCATGAGGAAGACCAGGTCCGTGGTCCTGGTGCCCTCCGTCACCCTGATAAAGCACCACGTCCCCGGGTGTTGGTACGTGTAGGCGCCCAGGCTGAAGAAGGGCAGGACGGCCACGCACAAAGCCAGCAGCCAGATCAAGGCCAGCGCCATCTTTGTCCGCGCCGTGGTCACAAGACGAGCGTGCAGCAGAGGCCTGGTGACGCCCAGGCAGCGCTCGGCGGCCATGCCGCAGCCCAGGAAGAGCGGGCACAGGCCGAAGAACACCATGCAGCTTCCCAGAAACAGGCAGGGCCGGTCCGGATTGTCGGCCGCGGACCCGGTGCCCTCTGAGTATTTCTTCAGCACGAGCGCTCCGAGGATGACGTGTCCAGCCAGATTGGTCGCCACCAGGGAGCTGGCGGAGAGCAGGAACGTGGCCTTAGAGCGCCGCCGGAAGCGGTTGTAAGCCTTGGCGAGAATGATGAGGGCCACAGCGTTGAACAGGATGCCCAGGGTCATGGAGAGGCCGGCGGACGCGGGATTGCTGGGCGGACGGGTGGTGTTGCAGGCCACGGCTTCCACCCGCAGCTCCTGCACCACGGGGGTGACGTTGAAGGGCGGAACGTCGGAGCAGTTGTAGCGCTGCATGGCCAGCATCACCGCCGGGCTCCGGGCCAGATGTGGTTCCTCTGGTTGAGAAGACACTGGGAAAGAAAGAACAGCAGCATGATTAAGCCTCATGGTCATGTCCTCCTTTTACACGACAACAACATGTAACCCACCTCCACGGGCAAACAAGGCTCCTCACAGTAAATCATTGCAAACAAGTTCTCGTACCACTCTGAGGGCTTGGCACTAAGGGCCTGAATTTTCTCTTCATACAATCCATTGCTCCAAGCGTCTGAGCAAGTTCTGACACATGCTGTTAACAATTGCTCACATTCCTCTGAAAGTGCCGATCCGAAGCAGCAGCAGCCGTGGCTGACATGCATGCAGACAAGCGAGCTGCCGGGAAGGATTGAATATTTATATATGTTTTTTTATTTTTTTTTATTTATTTGTTGTGTATTTATTCACTATATATTTTATTATATATATATATATTAATTCTATATATGTATATACAAAATAAAATATATAGTGAATAAATACACAACAAATAAATAAAACCATATATATATATATATATATATGTTTTTTTATTTAACTTATTTATTGAACACTTCTTTCTATATTCTTTATTTAGAATATCTATTCGGCATTCTTTCCTTTTATTTGTATGCATTGATTGTTGATAATATATATCTTCTTTTGCTCAAATGTTAACTCTCTGTGCCTACCTGTAAATATGTTGTTACAAACATGATACAAACGTAATTATTTACAAAAAATAACATAATGGTGATTTTACAAAATGATACAGACATACCGTTAAATCGTCTTTTATCTGAAGTTTCTTCAAACTGTTTAACACAATAAAACACACTGAATTTGAAGCGATAGCCTGCGGTTATACCGTCTGTCCTTGCTGTGGAGTATATTCAATTTACCTCTGAAAGAATAAATCCATGGAGATGATCAGAATTCCTCTGATCTGGACAGCTACTCATAACTGCAGCAGATAAAAGCCAACGATTCCAGATTGTGTTTCCAAAGGACTTGTTCTTCTTCCCCTGAAGCTATTCCCCATCAGCACTCTCTGTGGACCCTCTCCTCTCAGAACAGGCAGCCTCCCTGCTGCATTGCACGAGCACCTTCTCTGTCACTCCAACTGCGGCGGACTGCTTTATACTGAGGAGCTGCGCTGTGCTCACATCGCCCCTGGGTGTCCCAGTGGGTTCAAAACACGGCTTTGTCCTTCCCGGCAGACTGGAGTGGACGCTATTGATGCTCCACTCTACTCTCAGCCATCCAAAACACAGCTGACTCACCCGTAACTGCCCCTCCCCTCACCATCATTAAGCTTAAGGGTTAAATATTAAGCCTGCAGCTACTAAGAACTGACTGACTTCATATCTAAAAAAACAAAACGCAGCAGAATGAGTAGACGTCTGATTAATGCCAGATTATGACTCTTCTTGATTAGGTTTGGTAGTTTGATTTTTTTTAGAAAACTGCTCTCATTACAGTCTGTAGATTACCTGGAGAAACTGGGTTATGATCTCTGAAAACAGACATTGCTGGTGACTTTTTGTAACCTTTGATTTCTGCCACTTTGAGAGCCATCTAGTCTGAACGGGTACGCATATGGGACTCGCCAAAACAATTCAAATGAATAATATATAATGCAAAATAAGTGAATTTGATTTTTGGGGTGGACTGTTGGCCAGCAATGCTCCCGGTATCATTTTGTGATAAGCAGAATGGACAGACGGACCATGAAAGGCTGCACGCTCAAATCATGAAAGGGAATCTGGAGCTCCTCGAGTTTCCATCATCCCCAGGCATGCGTTATCGTTGCACTTCCCCCCTTTCCTTCCTGCTAAAGCGCTGCCTTGGTATGTCAAAACTGCTAACGTACTAATGTAGACTACCCACGCTGCAAGCTGCTTGTCCCAAAGAATGGTCCTCTTTGGGCCGCAACGCGTGCGCTTACTATATACTGATGAAATATGCCAGCATACATTTCAATAGAGGGTTGTTTTAAGGCACACAGTCTGCAATGACCTCATTCATGCCTGCATGTATACATTCAAACATGCCTGCATGGCGTGCTATCAGAGACAGGCGTGTCCGGTGTCAGTCGGCTGGGCGGTGAAACACCTGAGACGGCTGATCGGAAAGACTCACCACTAATGCACCCGTTGGGATTAAAGAGGCAATAAGGAAGTGGGCTCTCAAAGACAGCAAAACCAAAAGAGGGGAGCCATTTATTATTAACCACACGAAGAGCAAACAACGATCTTTGTCTTTGTACACAACAACAGATGTGCTCACGTTTACATTATTTTCCTCTCGCCTCACTGTGACAAAAGCAAGAGAAATGTACTACCAAAGCAGATTCAGGTTGGATTTTAAAACGTCTTCCAACGTTTAGGAGATTCCAGACACAATCACGTAAGATGTGGCAGAGGACGACGCTGAGACGATCCGTCTTGTGCAGCGATGTTAATTGCGTGGTTTTATTTGCACCAAAGGGACCCGCCATAAAACTGGAAAACCACGCGGCATAAGAAGCTGTAAATGAGTCTTCACGGCCGTCGCCCATCGGCCCGCCTGAGCGGCCTGACGCGCTGAGACCCATCGTCACTTATTTCCACCAACGTTTAAACGACTCCTTTTGAAACACCTTCCTCGTCGGCGGCCAGCAGCAGGAGAAGCGCGTTGGCTGCTGTTTGTCTGTCGCACCATTCTCTGCATTTTTAGACAACACAGCCACGAGAAGAATTCCGGTATTTATTTGTTGAAAACCTCATAATTACCAGACTTTTAGTCCAGACAATTTTGTATAATTATGCGTGTCCTGCTTGTTGTTTTTATGTAGGTTCAATTGTTTGCTGTTTCAGTGACTGCATTTTGTTAAAGTAGGTGTTAGTCTTAATAATGAGGTGAGCCTACTCCTTCTTGCAGGGTCTCAGGCCCTCTGTCTTGTATTATCTATCTTCATGACGTTTTCAAGACAAATGAAAATAATACCCTCATCGACTGAGCACAGGCATCGAAAGCGCGTCTGTCCGTTCGTCCCGGTAGTCAGGTATCGAAAGCGCGTCTGTCCGTTCGTCCCGGTAGTGCCGTCGTGGGGTCTTGGGGAGAGGAGAGATGTTTTGAGCCTCTGTTTCTGTGGAACATTTCTCAGCAGATAAAGGTACTGTGTGTGGCAAACAACTGCCCTCGGTCATATTCTTCCCATTTCTGGTAAACCAACAGTGGAAAGGCCGATCAGTCATTGCTAGATAATAAACATGTATGTCTTTAACATAATAGTTTGCTGGCTAGTAGCCTATATGTTTGATTGTTGTTGGAAAACCCCTTGGAGGGAAGAGGGCTGGATAAAAAATATAAAACCTTTCCAGCATTATGCTGGATTATGCATTATATCATCATCAATATTTTCCCCTTGACTTACACCCTTCCAACCCCATCAAAACAGCACTGAGTTGGTACAACTCCAGGTTAGCTGGTTAGCTGACAGGGTTGTGCGATGCCAGGTAGCATAGCTAAGTTCATGTAGCTAACACCCACGTCAAAGAGTTGTCAAAAAAGGTTTAAAAAAAGAAATGTTACCAAGGAGACCGTACACCCTTTACCTGTCTATCGTCCCTGGAAAGTCCAACTAGGACGTGTTGCTTCGATCTATTCTGTTTTTGTTATTGCTCCTGAGGATATTGGTTCCTGTTCAGTCCATTGAAACATGTTCCTGCACGTACAAAAACTACAAAGCAAGAAAAGCAGAAACAGTAGGTTGTCCAGCTGTCTTGCTCAGGGATCCAAGGAGCAGATTTAAACACGTGGGATATTTTTGACACCCCTGATAACTGACCAGTAAACCACCGCTTCCTTGCTTCTGTTTGTCCCCACAATGTCACTAACTGCATGAATATTATCACATCTTTGCACTCAAAGAGGCATTCAAAGTATCAGGAACGTCAGACCCATTCAGCTTTATAACGAAGCTGAAGCTACCGATCTCAGTGTTAAAGTGAACCACCATGATGGAGACAGACGACAAAACACTGTTCCTGTATCAAATGTGCAACCTTCTTCATTTTTTATTCCATGGTGACTTACTAGGTACGTACATGCCGGCATATTTGACTCATGTGCCTACTGTTACGCTTCTCTTGAGGAATCAGGAATCAGGAATCAGGAAACATTTATTACCAAAATATGTCAAACATACAAGGAATTTGTCTTGGCGGTTAGTGCGCGACAGTAGACAGACAAGACAGCAGTGCACAAGTAATAAAATAAAGTAAAATGAAATGCTAATGCAATGGGTTAGTAGAATAAGGCTATGGGTTAGTTCAAAACAAGGGAATAAAGTAAAACATTTTAAATATTAAAAAAGTCAAAAGAATAATATTAAGCATAAAGTGCACTAACGAACAAGTGACAAACAAGTAACAAAGTGACGAGTGACGACAAAGTGATGAATTACAGTTAAAGTGACATGTGCAGTATGAGGGGGGGTGACCGGTGGAATGTTATAGTCAGGCAGTGGGGGACCGGGCTCTGTTGATGAGCCCGACTGCCGACGGGAAGAAACTGTTCGTGTGGCGGGAGGTCTTAGTCCTGATGGACCTCAGCCTCCTGCCAGATGGAAGGGGCACAAACAGGTTTTGTCCGGGGTGGGAGGGGTCGGCCGCGATCTTTTTCGCTCGCTTCAGAGACCTGGAAGCGAACAAGTCCTGCAGGGACGGCAGATTGCAGCCGATCACCTTCTTTGCAGAGCGGATGACACGCTGGAGCCTGCCCATGTCCTTGGCTGTGGCTGCAGCGTACCAGACGGTGATGGAGGAGCAGAGGATGGACTCGATGATGGCCGTGTAGAAGGACAGGACACCAGATGGTCAGACTCCCACCTGTAGGCGGACTCATCCCCACCAGAGATCAGTCCAATGAGGGTGGTGTCATCCGCAAACTTCAGGAGCTTGTAGGACTGGTGGCTGGAGGTGCAGCTGTTGGTGTACAGGGAGAAGAGCAGAGGGGAAAGAACGCAGCCTTGGGGGAACCGGTGCTGATGGTCCGAGAGGCTGAGACATGTTTCCCCAGCTTCACGTGCTGCTTCCTGTCAGACAGGAAGTCTGTGATCCACTTGCAGGTGGAGTCGGGCACGTGCAGCTGGGAGAGTTTGTCCTGCAGCAGAGACGGGATGATGGTGTTGAAGGCAGAGCTGAAGTCCACAAACAGGATCCTGGCGTAGGTTCCTGGGGAGTCCAGATGCTGGAGGATGTAGTGGAGGGCCATGTTGACAGCATCGTCCACAGACCTGTTGGCTCTGTAGGCGAACTGCAGGGGGTCCAGGAGGGGGTTGGTGAGGGACTTCAGGTGGGTCAGGACTAGCCGTTCAAAAGACTTCATGACTACAGAGGTCAGGGCGACGGGCCTGTAGTCATTGAGTCCTGTGATCCTGGGCTTCTTGGGGACAGTGATGATGGTGGAGGCCTTGAAGCAGGCTGGTACGTGGCATGTATCCAGGGAGGTGCTGAAGATGTCAGTGAACACCGGAGACAGCTGGTCAGCACAATGCTTCAGGGTGTGAGGGGAGACGGAGTCCGGACCGGCTGCCTTACGGGGATTTCGTCTTCTAAAGAGCCGGTTAACGTCTCTCTCCAGAATAGAGAGGTTCGTTGCTGGTGGGGGAGGGGAAGGTGATATAGATGAAGAGGCGTGAGCACCTGATGGGCTGGGGGAGGGAGGGGAGGGGGACTGCAGCAGTGAAAGGAGGAGTGAAAACGCCGCAGTACAAGAGCAGAAGCCACTTATCATTCAGTCACTGCATAAATCAAAGGAAAACTCAGTTACTGAATATGAATGCGTGTTAGGGTGTCAGAGGGGGGCCTGCATCGCTGTAAAGGAGGATGAGATGACTCCATAATGGGATGACTCCATAAATGCATGTCTAATTTCAGCCTGGCCCTTCTGCAGACATTGTCCTAGGAGACGGCTTTTAGGGAGGATGGTGATGACGTAATGGTTGGCCTGTAGGCTACGTGCGTCATAAAGGGAATGAATGAATATGAATGTCATGCTTTGACACTTAAAGATCAACTTAATTGAGTGAATTTATTTTATCTAAGTGGTTGTTATTATTATTACATGCTATTAAAATTTTTTGAAATTCCAGCCTGCTGGTGGTACAAGGAGTCCTTATTCACCTGTGGCTTCAGTCTTTAACAGACCAGTGCTCC